CGAAAAGAATGAAAATGGATAAATGATCTAGCCACGTGGCTACGACATGTGATGCCCCTCCCCCCCCTAACCCTCCCCACGTGAAGCAGCTTGTGTTTCCTTACCCACTCCATTCCGTCAATCGGTGATTGATGACACGCCTCCCCCCCTAACCCTCCCCACGTGAAGCAGCTTGTGTTTCCTTACCCACTCCATTCCGTCAATCGGTTATTGATGTCATTATTATCTTACCTTGTCCTCGTAAATCGTGCTCATGCTCCTTATCTTTGATCTTCCTTGTCATCTTCATCTGTCAGTGTTGTCATGGTTGGGTGCTCTCTCTCTCTCTCTCTCTCTCTCTCTCTCTCTCTCTCTCTCTCTCTCTCTCTCTCTCTCTCTCTCTCTCTCTCCAGACTGTTTCATCAAAGGTTGAACCCCAACAGTCTTCCCAAGATGCATCTGTGTGCATGTGTGACGTCATGTTCACCTTACACAAATCCATAAAAAAAGGTTCGACTATGCCAGACTGAACCAAGCACCGATTCCACGATGCACGTAGCACCGTTGCACTTAGCACGAAGCACGGATCCCACGAACCAACCGCCGATGCACGTAGCACCGAAACCAAACCAAGCACGAACCAAGCACGGAGTAGCATGAAGTAGCACAAATGCACCCAGTAGCACCAAGTACCACGAAAGTGGCACCGATGCACGAACCAAACACGACCAAGCACGAAGTACAAAGCACTGAGAGAAAGAAAGGGAGAGGGAGAGAGAGAAGGGGGGGAGAGAGAGAGAGGGACAGAGAGATCCACAGAGAGAGAGAGAGAGCATTATGGGAGGCAGGCCGTAGGCAGGTCGCATGGGTCGCGTAGGCTGTAGATAGGTCACCTAGGTGGGCTTAGGCAAGTCAGTAGGTCGCGTAGGCGTGTAGGTCGTGTAGGCAAAGACCGTAGGGCACAAAGTACCAAGAACGACGTACCAAGCACTGAGAGAGAGAGAGGGAGAGGGAGAAAACGGTCCAGAGAGAGAGAGAGAGACCGCTACGGTAGGCAGGCCGTAGGTGAGGATGGCAGAGGTGAGCGGAGGTGGAGGTGAGCTGGGCAGAAGCAGAGGTGAGGTTGGCTAGGCGGATGTGAGGTGGGCGGAGGTGAGCGTGGGTGGAGGCGGGAGCAGAGGAGAACTGGCGGGGGAATGCCGAGGGAGAAGTGGCAGAGGAATTCCAAGGGGTGGGGGGAGGCGGAGTCGGGCGAAGGCGGAGGCAAGGTGGCCCCCGAGCGGAGAAGAGGTGGGTGGGGGCAGGGAGGAGATGGTGGGCGGTGGCGGAGGGGAGGTGAGCAGGCGGAGAGGAGATGGCAGGAGGAGGCGGAGGGGAGGTGGGCGGAGGTGGAGGTGAGGTGGGCGCCGGGTGGAGAAGAGGTGGCCGGAGGCGGAGAGGAGATGGTGGGCGGAGGCCGAGAGGAGATCGTGGACGGTGGCGGAGTCGAGGTGGGCAGACAGGAGGGCCCGTTGAGACTTCAATGCAGGGAAAGCGCCGCCCTGCAACGGGCCCTATTTCTAACGTGGGCGCCGATCCAGGCCGCCCGCGGTCCTACCGGCCCGACGGTCCAGATTTCCGTGCGATCTTATGACTTTAAGATCGCGCAACGATCCACGCCTTCCGGCAAAGCCGACGGTCTGGATTGCCACACGATCTTAAAGTCTTAAAGTCTTAAGATCGCGCAGAAATCCGGACCGTCGGCCGGTAGACCGCGGGCGGCCCGGATCGGCCAAATCTCACGTATCGAATAGCAATTTCTATAAGTGTAGGGAAGCTTACGAAACCAGACCATTGATCCAGGAAGGCCTGACGGGCTGGATCCATGATTTGTTACACCTGCGACTTGATTTCGGCTGTGACCCAGTAGGACCGGGAATGGCCTGGATGATTCAGTCATTGCATCAGCAATCTTCCGACCTTGCTATCAAATTCACGCAGTCACATGTATAATGATCTATCAATATCCTATGGTCTTAATTGCGCTGCCCATGACCCACCTGACTCCATTTTATGGACTGTGCTTCTCATGTTTTATATACCCTATTAGTGTGCACCTTGCCAGCATCTCACTCCACTTTGTGCACCACTGTGAACCACACTTCTCACCTTGTGTCCAATTCCTTTGCTACTTCCTGCAACCACCCCTTCCCCTCATTGTGTGCTACCTTCATCCCTTATCTCACACATCCTAATCCTTGCCGATCCCATCCATTGTGCTTCGCTGCCCACCTCTTATCACATGCCATGTTCTCTGTCCAAAAGAGACCAACCTGCACTCACCGCCAAGTGACGGACCCCACTGCCTCTCAACGCCCTCAACTGCTGCTGCAATCACATTCCCCTTCTCAGCATCTCACTCCATTTTGTGCACCACTGTGAACCACACTTCTCACCTCGTGTCCAATTCCTTCGCTACTTCCCACAACCACCCCTTCCCCTAATTGTGTGCTACCTTCATCACTTATCTCACACATCCTAATCCTTGCCGATCCCATCCATTGTGCTTCCCTGCCCAACTCTTATCACATGCCATGTTCTCTGTCCAAAAGAGACCAACCTGCACTCACCTCCAAGTGACGGACCCCACTGCCTCTCGACGCCCTCCACTGCTGCTGCAATCGCGTTCCCCTTCTCTGCAGCTCTCTCCATTCTTGCAATGGCATCAAACAGGCACTTCGTAATATCCAGCAGGGCTATCACCTCTCCATTTTCCACCACAGGAAGATGCCGGAACTTCCCTAATCAATCAAACAAGTGGAGTATTGGAGGTGTTATCATTCAATGCAGATTACCACCACACACTTGGACAACCACAACATGCCTTTCACCCAAAACCCCATCCTCATCTATCAATATCCCTCCCCTACCCCAACCCCCCAACCCTTGACTTTCTTAAACGCAAAATCGATCGGATTGACAAGGCTCCAATAGAGGAATGCAAGGAAACACAACCCCAGATATCAACAACACACATCGCTGGTGATGCGAATGCTCAGCCTGCACATACAAACAATGCACCATCAACCTTTCGGGGGGATTGGCACACTCTAGCAATCACTCCAAGGAAGCACCATCATCCCTTTTCAGCAACTGCCGCACTCTCGTGGACTTCTTGCTGCCCTGGGCATCAGGATTTCAGTTGCACAGATGAGTAATCAGGACCAAGGGTAACAAGATGGACAAATGAGCTTCCCGAGGGCCTCGGGCAATGGGCAAGTTCAGAAAAGAGCACAGGCAGCCACATGAAAAGCCACAGATGACAGATAACCGCAACCAGAAACAAACCCTACCCACCTTGAACCATCTTTTGGAGAGCTTCAACTGCGCTCATGTCACTCAAGCAAAAGATTGGATTCCGCGTCATCACCTTCGAGACAGGGGTCACTTCTGGGTTGAGACCCTCAGCTACAACACGCATGGCAATGTCCTGACACATTAAGAATCGCAGGAATAATACAATGAAAGGTTAAGAAGAAAAAGAAAGAGCTCGGGATGACTCACAAGTAAAGAGGTGGGACAAATCGGTCAGAATTGGATGACTCACAAGTAAAGAGGTGGGACAAATCGGCCAGAATTTTACTGTTCCAAACAAGTGCATGACATTGATTTTCAACTCCGCTTCTTCACACATCCACATACCTGTGAATGAGCACTCCGATCCCAGAGTAAGGGTGCAGCCACACCACCACTCACACCCGAGCAACCAAGATCAAATGAATACGACCATATATTCTGTGTACAATACAACCATGACGGGCCCAATATAATTGTGCACAAGCTGTACTCAGGACTTGTTCACACCCGGAGTATCATGACGTCATCAACTTTGAGAAGACATATCTTGCGTTAAGTGCATGTGGGTGTGAATAAACACCACAATTTCCAAGGGAGCAGTAACGCCATCACTCACCCCAAAGCAACAATTGCCAAACGAATGAATATGACCATACATTGATAGGTCCACTACAACTGTGTTCAAACTGCCTAATGGTTTGCTGCATGAGCTGTATCAGCGCTTGTTCACACAGGCCGTATCGTTCTCTCTTTGAAAATACATTACCTTAAGTGGGAGTGGGAGTGAGCAAGCACTTTGAAAGTGGTGTGTACAGACTTTCAAGAAAGACAGCACAATTACGGCACACCTCTGGACCGCAATAATGAAGCTTATTGCTTGAAATGCTTAGTGAAGTGTTCACGGGGTAGGAATATCGACGCGACATACCAGATCATCAAGGAAATCAAAGAATTAATGACCAGTGACAGGATTCACGCACCTCCAGATTATGGCCCCAGTACCACGTCCCGTTTTCTTTTGTGTCATAGGGTCGCATATAGAACTTCTTTCTTGGACAGAAAAATGTCAACGGTCTTGATACATCATCATTAAACTGACCAATTCCAGGTAATTCATTGTTATTTCCTTCTGTTCATCTGGTTGCATCTGGATTCCAACTCAGGTCTGTATATCAACAGTTTCATGGGTGTATCAACTGAGCTAGCCTGTTGGTCAAATAGAACTTCCCAGTAGGTACAATACAGGCCAAAATAGATATCCGATACGATAAGGCCAGTAGGAGCAGTAGAAGCCCCTGGTAGTCAGTAGGTAAGGAGTTGCCACATGTCCAGTCTGGGTCAAGTTGCAAATCAGTCCCAGGAAGGGCCCCATGCAGACCGAATCGTTGTGGGCCGCTGCATGGCCTGACAGAGAGGGCCAGGAATCACGTGAGAGGCAGAGGAAGAGGCAAATGCACAAAAGGGAGGCCAATGCCAGGAACCTCCGCTTCTTCGATTGTGGCTCATGCGAGAGCCCTGCTACATTATTGTGAGCCGAGACCTTGGGTGCGTGAACAGTGCCTGGCGAGAAGATAATCAACAGTGCTGGACAACATAGACATAGGAAAACGCAGTACGGAGAGGGAGAGCAGGTGAGGACATTCAGAGAGCGATCCGGGGTCTGAGCGCAGTTGTAGATAGCACACAGACCGAGAGATAGAAAGAGACATACAGAACGACAGACAGCCAGACAGACGGAAACTTACCCGCTCATTGATGTTGTGGGCGGCATAGCCACAAACTTGAGAAACCTGTGTACATCATTTCAAGTTGTAAATAAGTTCCCAAGTGTGCTCATTTTGGGTGAATCTTGCTGCTTCGGTGTTGATCTCGAGTGTGTTGCATACATAAATTTGAACTTTGAAGCAATGAAGGCGAGCGGGCAGGGCCTTTCCAGTGGTATAAGAGCAGACCCTCGTTGCCTCCACCAACATTGGACGGTGCGGGCATGAGAAGGCCGCGCTGATCTGCAGCATCAATGTGTGCAGGAGGGAAGCAGGCACGTGGAGCAGATAAGATTGACCACAGTAGAAGGTGGATGCGTGCAGGACAGGTGCGCGGAAGCACAAAGGCACCTGTTCGGAGAGAGAGAAGGCAGGCGCACAGAGAGGAGGAACTTGCAGGAGAAAAGGAGCTTGGCAGGAGGGTCTACCCCCGAAGCAAAAAGAAGAAACAAAAACAGGAAGCAGCAATTCAAAACAAAAAAAAAAAAACAGGTGAACGGCACAGGTGTGAACACTGCAAAGCCAAGGCAGGCACACAGGTAAAGCAGGCGTCCAGGTAAGGAAAAGGACAGTGAGGGGAGAGAGAGTGTGGCCATATCAAGTGAAAACCCCGAGCCCGGTTCCAGGGTCCCAGATTGTCCCAATCCCAGTTGGGTCCAGGCCCAGATAGTCCCAGTACCACCTGTCCTGGTACATGAGTTCCAAGTAGGGTCTGTAAGGTCCTAAGGTCCGTAGAAGGTTGAAGCGTCGTAGATCGTGTCTGGCCGGTACCGAACAGACACTGACCGGTAAGAGTCCAACCGGTACCCGACAAAGAAAGTATAGTCCCAAAGTCCATTTTCCAGCAGTTTCCCAAGAAAGTCCAGAAGCTATCCGGACCACAAAAATTCATGCAGCAGACAGGCGGCAGCCGACCTGTACCGGTTGGAAGCGGACCAAGGCCAAGTCAAGCTTCTATTAGTAACTGCTACAGTGCAGTTTGGGACACACTATTGATCCGTGAGATTGTGGAAGCGCTGCTTGCTGCTTGTGAGACATCGCAACTTGGGCGATACACCCAAAGGCCTGTTGGGCGGTGCTGTAATTAGGGTTGACGCAGGAGAGGCGGCCATAGCTGCTGTACTTGCAGTAGAGGAAGAAGAGTGGATGTATTCAGGGTTACGATCCAGGTCGGGGAGAGAGAGAGAGGGAGCGAGTACTGAGAGAGAAGTCAGAGAGGGAGAGAGAGGAAGAGAGAGGAGAAAGAGGGAGAGAGAGTCACACTAGGGAGGGAACTTGGTTATATACCTGAGTTGAGGCTGTTGGTCACTGATGAGCACTGGATACTTTAACTCTGAGTTTGTACAAGATGATCATTCATTGAAGTTTCTAAAGCTGCACTAATCTGATGTTCCCATATCTGGTGTCGCTGTGAATCTTCATCTAACTTTCATTGTCCATGTTGTGTGGAGTGTGAATCTGAGCGGATCATTGCATTGGTATCGGAGCTGAAGAGGGCTGCATCAGCTAAGGAGAGGTAACGCCGGCAAGGCATAAGGCCAGCAGGAGATAAGATTGGGAAATGATCGGAGGTGAGGGCCAATGGAGGAGGCGGCATGTTGTGAGTGAGAGGGACCATGTACTTGCCAGCGAGGAGAAGTGCTGAGTAACAGCGCCTGTAACGATCAAGAGAGAAGTGATTCCCAGCCCTCGTTTGTTTGTTTGCATTTGATTTTGTTGTCTCACGCTTCCTTGGTGACTGTTACATGCTGAGAGCCTCAACACGGGCCCCTCACGGGACCCGAGGTTGCATAAGGGCCCCCAGGTCGCGTCACCGCAAGCTGGAGGCCCTACGGCCATTTTACTTAGGCCTGCATCGGAAAGACTTCAACTTTAAGTTGATTTCTTATTTATTTATTTACGGATGTGTTTTTACTAATGTGCTGTTGTCCGTTTTGTGGCCAGGTACACAGTTAGGACCAGGGCCGGAATCAGGCCCAGAGGCTGAGCCTCTAATTCAGTTTGGACCGTTACACTTTTTCAGACAGACGTTGGGACCTTTACTCGTTTTCGGACAGACTTTGGACCTGGACAGATGTTCAGGCCTGATACATTAAACGTTTGGACCTTTA